CCGATAAGCCCAGCGCCCAGCTCGGCCCTTTTGGCAAGGGCAGAGCAGCTCAGCAGCCCTCAAAGGGCTCAGCCCCGCGGAACCCGGCCCTTGCCTGGCTGGATGCTTCGGCATCGGCACACGCTGCTCTGGGAGCCGTTGAGCCGGCGCTCCGAGCGCGGAGCGGCCCTCATTCCCTTTCTTCTTTGGCAAAGCGGCACCAATAAGTCACAGCGAGGCTACGCGTTCAGCGGGAAGGATTCCAGGAGGTCATTTGCTGAGGGACGGCGTCTCCAGCTTTTGATCAGGGAGGAAGACGGGACGGCATAAAAGCACATCAGCAGCAGGTACAGCGAGAGAGAAGAAAGCAGAGCAGGGATGCAAGCAGAGGCCGCGAGGGGCTGAGCCTTTAAAAGCAAGGAGAAGCAGTTTGATCTACAAACGAACCCTTGTGAACGGGCAACCTCATCAACAAGGCGGCCCCGGGGACGCTCCACCTGTGCCTCGAGTCTCAGGCTTCTGCTCTGCACAGTGTGAGGGGAACAAGACACGTTTGCTGCCACTTCCCAAGCGGACGGGATCTCTTCTGATCATCCCAGTACTGCGACTGCACGTGGAACGTGTTCCTTCCAGGAGAAATCTCCTGCATGGACACAGCCCTAATGCAGCCTCTCCGAGAGGGCCTACAGCTCAAGGGAGTTGGAGGAAGAGGATTTTTTATTATTATTATTGTTTTGCTCCTTTTTCACACCTTGTTTCCCTAGGCCCCATCTGTGAGTGACTGTGAATGAGTGAGATAATGACAAAAACAAAACTCAAAGGTCAAATACAAATAGTTGAAAAAGCAGCAACATGTGAAAGAAGCACCTCAGACCAGCAAGTTCTAGTGGACTGAAGGAACAAAATGTAGACAAAAAGTCTGTTGGAGAGGGATTCATTATCCATGATCCCCCCTGTGAACCAAAAGGAACTTTCTCCTTCATATGCCTGCTCCTTGAAGGGAAGGCTGGACTTAACATAAAGGACATTTTGGGTTGCCTTTCCACACCAGAAGGAATCTGTAAACAGGCAGAGCCCAATTTGCTTCCCATTCTGTCCAAGAGGAGCAAAGAGACACCCAGAAACACCCCTGTTGCAACACAGAACAAGGCAGAAATTTGTGCTGGCAGCCAGCACATCCACTGCAGGTCACTGCAGCACTCAGGACGACCTCAAGAAGTAAATGTAGCCGAGGGCAGGCGATAATTCCAGCGAGGAAGGCTGCTCTTCCCTTCTGACCTCCCTCTGTATCCCAGTGGTGGCTCCGAATAATCCTGCCACGCTGACAGGGCTTTGCTTCCTTTGACTAAGACGCAGTAACAGGCACGAAAAACAGCCAAGGCACCAAAAACAACCAGGTGACACTGATACGAGGGGAAAAGACCATTCCCACAGAACAGCTTGGAAGAAACAATCCTGCCCCATCGACTAAACCTATTGCCCTGACCCACTTCACCTTCGCGCAGCTCAGACTTCACTGCAGAGTGCAGAAAACTAACAGTAAAAAAAAAGGGAGAAACAAGAGGATCCAGCCGTTCTCCTACCTCAGAGACTTTGTATTCACAGGTCAGCTTCTACAGGAGCAGAGCTTGCTGTGAAGCTGCTGCTGCTTTTTTTGCAGACCAAGTTGACTGCAATTGCACTAAGAACCCTGCATCAGTGAAGAAACCCCAGAGAGAAGAACCCTAAGCAAGCTCAAACCTCCCCTGATATTACCAGGTCATTTGAGCTTGTAGGCTCTGCAGATTCTCAGTCCTGCCTGCACATCCCGCTCTGCACTACGTCTCCCAGACCTGCGCCAGTATCTCCCACTCCCAAATCTTCTCCCACATGCATACCCAGCAGAAAGCAGGGGACAGCCCAGGTTCCTCTCTGCTCCCCTCTCTAAATTTGCTGCTTTTGAAGCACCACATCCAGCGTAGCTCAGCTGCCCCCTGACTAACATGCTGTCACCCTTCCTTCCTCAGGGCTCTCTTGCACAGAAACCTTGATCAGGAGAGAGTCCTTAAGCCCAGGAGATTTCACAAAGGAAGCCCCAGCCCTCAGAGTTCTTGAGCCCTTGCTATAATTTAAGCTCCTTTTAAGTCATCGCAGACTAGTCATTATGCAAGAAGTTGCTTCTAAAAGGTGGGGCCAACAGGAGGAACAAGTTTGGGTCATCACCTCGATCCCTCAAAGGCAGAGGGCAGAGAACCTGCCTGTTCTGCCAGCTCCACATATACAATAACTATTATGCAGGAAATTGAAGGTCTCAGCTCCAGCCCTCAGGGACCAACCCAGCCTGCTGCTACTAAAGGGCCACACAGCTGGACCACGTTCAAGCTGAGTTCAAATAGTGTTGTGGAAATCCAGCTTGGACATGATGGCAAAAGTACAGGCTAGGCAGGACAAGATGGCTATCATTTTCTAGACTATCTTGTTGGAATAGAGCTGGCATCATTTTCTGGCCACCCTCAAGCCTTTGGGCTCTCCCCAGCTCTCTCCTTTATCAGGGCACTCGGCTACCAGACTCTGCACTTCATAGTCAAGTTATTGCCCTACAAACAGCTGGGGACTCCTGTGCTTTAAAACACAAATCCATGGATTTCTCAACCCCCTTTTGCCTGGGTTCCTAGGCCCATCCTGGCTGCCCTGCTGAGTGCCATTAGCAGCTCTCCCTGGGCCCAGGGTCGTACCTGCGAGCGCTTCCACTTGCCCATGTCGGAAACCATGTTTATCTCCTTTTTGGGGATCATGAAGCTCTGCTGGAGCGGAGGAGCTGCCTCCTCAGAGGCACCTGAGACACACAAAGAAAGAGAGAGAAGTAAAAAAGAATCAGTGGAAAAGAAGAAATTCTCTAAATCTTGATTTTGCTCAGAAATCAACCTGAATTTCTCAGGACAGAGCGTAAACAGATCTGTCCCAGCTTTCACTGTTAACCCACCAAGCCCCAGCAATAGTCTCTAAATCCCAGGATTGTCCTTGGAATCCCAAGGACACTGCAAAGCTTCAGAAAGTTGCAGTACGCTTCGGTTTCATGCTGAAGACCAGTAAATTCGAGAGGCTGTTGCGGGAGAGATGTAAGTCACAGCCCGGCTAGATAATTTATTTCTATCCAGTGAAAACAAGGCTCAGGTGAGGCAGAAGCACTGAGCTCTGCTAACCAATTACCTGCACTTTGGTTTGGGGGTTTTGAGCCAGAACTGCAGCCCCCTAAAAAGCACAACTCTTGCAAAGACAACGCTGGAATATTCCATAGAGGGCACCGAGCCCGGCGCAGCCCAAAGGCCCCAGGCCTGGCAGCACGGGTGGCTTTGAGGGTGCTGGGACACAGCGTCTTCCAAGTGAAATATGAGGGTTACTTAACTTTAAAGCTCTCCAAGAGCCCAGCATGGGCTATTGAACGGGACTGCACAGTGCTAATGTGTTAGAGCAGCTCCTCCCCGGGCACCCCGAGGACCCGGCGCTGCCTGGAGGGCGGCCCCTTCCCCGGGGCTGCAGAGCCAGAAACACCCCGCATGGTAAAAGGCAACTTGCACCCTGTTTTATAAGCAAAACTTTAATAGCAAGAGGCAGTGCAGCAAGGCATAGTTAAGGAAACCGTTAATGTGAATTTATGAATTGTATCAAAGCCACCCAGCTCCTCATTTTAACTCTGGAAAATCCGAAGTTGCCTTTTTCCCCATCAGCCGCCCTAGAAACACTTCAGCGACTGCTCTCCACACTGCGGCGAGTCCAGGCACTGACACCAGCAAATCCAAACGCCCTAGAACAGTAAATTTACCTAGAAAACAAAACCCAGGAAAAAAAAATCCCTCTTGCCCCGCGGAGCGGTGCTGTCCAACAAGATCACCGAGGACTCTGCTACAAACCCAGCACTAACCTTAGAGGGAATTTAACTTCCCACTTCTTGAGCTCCACATCTACAAAACTGCTGGAGCTTCCCCACCAGTCCAGGGTGTAAAGGCATTTGATTCATTCTGTTTCATAAACTAAAGGCCCAACGATGAGAGGAACAAAGCGCAAGGAATTTAAATGAAAGACGCCATCCCTCTCTTGTGAGAACACAACAAACTCCTTGCAATAACTAGCCTCATAACCATGAAGCTGTTTCTTTTTAAGAGTTTATAACACAAACACAATAAAAAACACTACAGCAGGAGTTTACAAAAAGAGTTAACATTGTCTTGACAGTTTATACAGACTATACATACAGACCAGCGTGGCCAATGCAATGTCCTGGACCACGGGACCCAGCTGGGTCTCTCATCAAATAACTTTTTTCCTCTCTTCGCACTTTTTTCTTAAGCATCACTCCTTATGCACACTGTGGGCACTTCCTCTTGAGGAAGACACCAGATTTTTAAGAGACAGGGGAAAAAAAAAAAAAAAAGTGGGGGTGGAGGGGAGAAGTCTCCAGGAGTTACAGTATTAGAAAATTAACACATAAGTAAAACTCTAGGAACAAGGAAAGAACGTCACAATGGAGACAGGAGCTGAAGAGGTTGTTTTTATGGTGAGAAGTGACTTTGACACAGAAGCATTTCCAGTCTTATCTGCAGAGTGGGGAAAAAAGCCCAAACCCCCAGTTCAGCTGACAGACAGACCCCCACAAGGGTGAACGCTGCCCACGTCAGTGCGGACAAGGGAGAGATGCTGGATTTTTTCTACTCCTGCTCCCTGAGCAGGGCACCATAGGAGCTCAATGCACAGCACCATCCCGGGAGCCCGGTGGGGCCGGGTACGAGTCAGCAGGGAGAAACGCAGCAACAAGAACCGCTGCTTTCCAGCTACCCGGGGACAACAGCACCCAGACCCGCGCGCAGCGCTTGGCCTGCACGGCCCATTGCGGAGGCTGCCCAGCGCTCCTGGGGGGATGCGTAAATCCGACCTGGCTCGTCAGCAAGAAACCGAGGCCCTGAAGATGACTGGGAGCGCAGGGTCCCACTGCCGGGGGGACACGCGGGGCAGACACGCACCCCACTGCCCCGCAGAGCCCCCCGTGCCCTTTGGCACCCCCAGCCCCCATGGGGGCCAGACCCTCCCCGTGACCCAGACTCCCCTTTCCCCCCACTTCGCTGTACCCTATGGGACCTA